AAATAATTGAACCAAGTTTGGTAGAAATTTATAAAGTGGTTACCGAGATACACCTTGTAGTCATAAGTCTAAAAGTCTATAGCAGTCTAATTTGTTGTTAAGAGATTGTTGTTACTATTCACTTGGATTAAACTATTGTCCTCAGTTATTGAAATATCGGAGTTTTCGGATGTCTGAAATTTTACGTTTTACGGGAAGTGAGTGTAATTTTAGTCCGATTACAATAATTTTCAACGAATTTCTTGCTTGTACTAAGGTTATTAAGTGCACCGAGTTTGGTATAAATTTATGAATCAGTTACCGAGATACATATTTGTGGTCAAAAGGGGCACCGCCACCAAAAATTTTATGCTAAATGGTTACTGTAATTTTCGAATGTTCGCGTTTTTGTAAATTACCGTTATATGGGATATGGATTTACCGTTATATGGGATCAGATTTCTTGGCTAGACCCTAGGCAAGCCTCGTACCGAGTTTGGGAGGGATTGATGAAGCGGGTGCTGATATTCAGCAGTTCGTCATAAGTGCCCGATTTGCAAATAATTTCAAATAAAACTATTTTTTAACCAAAATTCGACTTCACGTTCTAATTTTCAAAAATTTGGATCCAATATTCATTGAAATATCGTAGTTTTTCCAGTTTTCGAAAATACCGTTATATGGGAAGTGGGCGTGGTTACAGTCCGAGTTCGCCCATTTTTGATACCAACCTACCTTGGCTAAAGGGAAATCTACATACCGAATTTCGTTGAGATATCTCAGTTTTTGCTCGAGTTATCGTGTGAACGGACGAACGGACGGACAGACAGACATGGCTTAATCGACTTCTCTTTTCATTCTGAGCATTTATTACAACCGTTGTTACAAACAACCGTTATGTGAACAAAGTTATAATACCCTTGTGCGCAAGTGCGCTCGGGTATAAAAAAAATCAACGCGTGGTCACTTGTTTAAGTCACTGTATGTATGGAAGTAAGTATGTATATATACGATTACATGCGTGCTTTAATTATATTAGAATACTTGCTCTACTCGTACTAATCAGTCTTGCTGGTAAATATTCAGATTCGTAACGAGGTTTGCAATAAGACCGTCTGGCTGATTAAATTGTATTTATTTATATGCGATGGACAAACAAAACTTACATTAGCAGACATTTAATGAAGTATGTGTGTAAAGTTCAGAGTAACGCGTCCCCTATTATTGCATAAATCGAATGTTTGTCTTTTACATTTTTAATTTTAATGACTAGTTCACAAAGTTCTTATAATATTTTCTGTTTTTATTTAGATTATGTTTTTAAGAAGTAATATGGTAAATATGTAAATACATATGTTAATATGTATGTATAGTATTTCATTTGATAACACTGGTACATATTTAATCAAACTTATCAAAGGTCAACATGGATCGAAAGTGGGCACATTCGAGAAAAGTCAACCGACAACGAAAAGCATACAAGTAATTCAAATTTTCATTTTCTTAGTAGTTAGTATACGACTGTTAAACGGCTCTATGAAATTTCGAATGCTCTTATCTTTTAAGTGATGATAGATATTTTTAAAACGGTCAAATTTACATTTTTCAACTTAAATTAAATGAAAAATTTTTTTTTTCGTGATTTCACTCCAAAAGGACAAGTTCATCAAGTTCAACAGAAAAATTCACCAAAAAATTATTTCTAGAGTCATAAGAAGAAATAGGCCTTAAATTTCTCCAGCTGGGGAAATGGTTTTTAGCCATGATTTTTGTACGTTCCATTGTGTTGTAACTGAACCGGATCTACATAGTCCGGGTGACTTATACTTGAAATTAGATAAGGCCAAGAGATATTCCTGTCACTTACCTTTTGAAGCCTACAGGCTTCGGATGTAGCCTCTATACCTTCGCACGTTTCGCTTTCGTTATTGTTATCTTGGAGATGTTAAGTATCGATTACGACGACGCGCTTGGCAGCTTTAAACGTTTTCCTTAATTCTAGACGATGTTTATTTCGATCGGAGGACCCCCAGGGTGGTTTATATGCCTCCTTTGTTTTCCTCTTGGGGCATGCCTTGACTAGTGCTGTCTGGCAAATCTCAACAAAAACACTAACGAATTGATCAAGTTCCTCCCGTGTTTCTGGCGTGTTGGATTTGCTCAGAAAGTAGACTCTTGCATAAAAGTTTTCTGTAATACCCCCCCGTTCTTGTGGTATTTTGTAACCATTTAGAGACGGGGCGAGTCCTCTATGCTAAATTCTATGAACCTGTGGCCCGAAAAAAATTACTCTTCAGAACGTTCCACGCCGAGATCTGTTCACTGAGCGTAATGTCAAGAACTTCCCTGCTATGCTATTTGCCAAGAAAGATACGGCAGCTTAACTGCGACATGCCAAAATGAAATTTGTTTATGCAACTCTCAAATCTCCTCGCTGAACATACTTAGTGAAGTAATAAGTCGCCGGCATTTCCAGCAATTTAGTCAATTTAAAAGTCTTTATAGGGTCACATTTTGCGGTGCCGTTTCATAGGCCTGCCCGCATATCCCTCTCTGTCTCTCTCTCTCTCTCTGTCTCTCATATCAGGCATATGAAGTGTGTGGTTTACTTGATGCGCAATTATAAACCATATGTGCTCGATACATAAATACTCGAATAAAATGTAATTCCTACCTCTCTACTCTAACTAGAACACAACTCTAAACCTCGTCTCCCGCTCTCCTTCAGCTAACCACAGATAGATCCCTTAAAGTGCTAAAGTTAGTATTATGTATTGTAATATCTGCAAAACATTTGTGACTAATTAAATGAATATGAATAACTGATATTTCAAATATTTCACTGCATAAACGAGTGTTCTGGAACAAAATTAACAGTGTAGGTGTAGTATATGTCCGTATGTATGTATGTATATACCAGGGTTGTTGCGAATATTCCCATTCGCATTCACAAATGCGGAACTTCCGCATTAATTTTATTATTCGCATTCGTAATAATCAATGCGGAGCTTTTGCGAATTCGAATGTTGTGCAAGTGCACCGATAAAACTTATATCTGCCAAACAAAATGACCATGATTGTAGCCAATATTTTTTGCCTGTGGAGATGCGACGTTAGGTCATGTTACCCAGTCGCCGCACATGGTTGTTATTGGTGTAAGAAAACTGGTGAAATATCTTATTTATCAACTTTGATAAAAGTATCTTTAATCATATTATTTCCTAAGCTATTTAACCGAGCTATCAACGGGGAGTCATAAAAGTTACCACTTCTGCTTGACTTTTGACGTACGTCAAAGAGAGCATAGCCTTTTTAACAATATTTTTTTTTTTATGTGCTTCAAATACCTATATTGGTGTCTGATTTTTTTGTACCAATCTTAAAAAAAAACTACTAGACATAAAAGAAGAAAATGTGTACTATAATTTTAAACGAAATATATTCCTTTTAATCATTTCAAATGGGGAATTTATTTTTGGGAAAAATTTCAAAAACACTAATTTTGTTTACTTGTCGGGCGATATTTTTTATAAGCATATACATTGGATCCTTAGCAAAAAATTTCTGTGGCAAAACTGTCCCCCTACGTATCCCTTGTTTAATATTTAAAGTCAAAGAGTAAGCTCTTAAGAGTAAGTAATTTAAAAGCTTTAAAACTGACCTTTAATTTGGTAAGATTTACGCAACTATCTGAGACCCTCATCATCCGTGATTCGAATAATTCAAATTCATATAAAAAACTTGTTTTTGTTTAATTAAAAAAAAAATAACTATATTCTGATCCGATTCGGCTGGCAGCCACGATTTTGAAAACACTATTTTACTCAAAATGTTCATTCCTGCAAAACTATAATTTATTTTCTACATATATCCACCTATTTAGCTCGCTATAAGCACAAATTTCTCTTCAAGTCAAGTTTTCTCTTCAAAGTCTCTTCAAGTGAAAATGAAAGTCAAGAAGATTCATCTGAGATTTTCAGCCCCGATGCAATTCTCATTAATACTAATAATAGTAGATTGGGCGCTTACACATATGTTAGTGTTTGGCCGAGCTTCTCCTCCGATTTGTGGCGTGCGCTTTGATGTTGTCACACAAAGCGGAGGGACCTACAGTTTTACGCCGACTCCGAACGGCGATTGTATTTTTATGAGAAGTTGTTTTTCATGTCAGAAATACACTCGGAGGTTTGCCATTGTCTGCCGATGGACGACCGCTGTTAAGAAAAAACATTTTTTTCTATATTTTTGCGATGTTGGTTTCACCAGGGTTTGAACCCAGGTGCTGCGGAGTGGAAGCGCTCACTGCTTACCACTACACCACAGCGGCCGACGATGCAATTCTCATTACTTTTTATTAAATATAATGTTCCAATTTTTGAATACAAGACTAAATAAAATAAACATTATTAAAAGTTATTAACTTTTCCATTTCTTATTTACCTAAACAACTTAATTTACTTACCAAATTGTTTCTTAAAAATACTTGACATCGCATTCGCAACCGCATCCGCGGATGTTAGCTGTTAAATATCCGCGGATGTCTAAAATTCCACATTCGCAACATCGCTAGTACATACATGTGCTATCATAACAGTAGTCAGAAATATAGGAAAATCATCAAAAATTAAAAAAAGTAATAACTTATTACATAAATGCATATGTGCACATGATTTAGGCTTAAATAATTTATTTTTAGCTTATAATTAAGAAAAAAAAAAAAACCAAATCAGATGCCGGCAACCGGCGCGAATCAAATTGTACTTTGACTCTATGTCGTATAAGCGTGCTTAACAGGCGTACTGAGAATGCTTGAAGCAAGTCTTCATGCGATTACTAGTTACGATAGGATGCATTTTTATATATGTACATATGCATACATACATATATAGCATATGTAAGTACACTTACGAATAGCACCCTCACTTGATAGTAATGGGCCGTCAAGCCATTGCGTTATCAGCTTCGCAATGTAGACGCCGTCGTTGTCAGGCATTAAAGGTCATTTTTTCATAGATTACTACAAAGTTCCAGAGCTCCAAAGCAGAGTAGAAATTGGAAAATATTTTCCCAATTGAAAATATCAGCAGACCGCAAGTGCAGCGCAAAACAGTCGACGTTTAGCTTTCGTGAAGAAAGATTCAATTTAATTTTCGAGCGGGCGTAAAAATACGGGTACTAAGATTCAATTTTACGAGAAAATAATTAACTTTTCTAAAAACACGTCGCAGATTATACATTGGGACTGAAAAACAAAAGCAGAAGTTTTCAAAATGGGTTAGTGTTGAGCAAATGGAAAATATAAAAATGTTTTTTTTTTTTGTGGCAAAGCATATTTACTTAATCAAAAGAATATGATAGCAATGGTCACATAAACGGTTGATTGCAATAGCCTAACGGAATCGGAATGAATTTACATTTATGAGCCGTGAAAGCAAAAGTGACCTAACACACAATTTTTTTATGTGTAAACATCTTAGCACTCGGTATGGGTAAAGTTTTCGTTAATCAAGCAAAAAAAAAATTTAACTGCTTCTGGTGTAATCCAGCAGAAAATCTGTAATGGCTTCTTATATGTAAAAATGCACATTTCTTAGCAAATTCGTGGCTATTTTACGATATTTTTGGGTTTACTTCACGACTAGGTTAAGACCTTTTCGGGAATAGTACGGGACCATTTCGCAATCTGTCCAAGACTATTTCAAGACTATTTCGGGTCAGTTCAGCAACATTTCTGGCCTAGTTCATGACTGTTTGAGGGTAATTTTAAACTAGTTTTGAACCATTTCGAGACTATTTCGGGATAGTTCACGACTATTTTAGAATCAATTCTGGAAAATTTCGGGACTAGTTCGGTATCACTTTGGGGCTAGTTCAAGAGCATTTCGGGAATAGTTCGGCGTGATTTGGGAAGTAGTAAGGGACTGTTTCAAGACTTGTTTGAGGTTATTTCAGGAATGGTTCACGATTTTTTTCTGAAGAATATTGGGATAAGTGCTGGATCATTTCTGGGTAGTTTGAAACTAGTCACGAAATATTCCTGAAATAGTCCTGAACTAATCCCAAAGTGGTTATGGAAAATTCGTCTACTGAATTCAACAAAATTAAATTAATTTTTAATAGCCGAATGTTTTTTTTTCAAGCCGTATCGGTTACCCACCAATGCTCACGCCCTTTCTTGTATACTTAACTACTTAATTTCATACATTTTAAAATAGTTAAAAGCCACTTATTCCTTTTTTTAATTACGTTACGTAGTTTTGTTCCGGCAACATATGTGCTCAAAATCAAAGAGAAGAGAAAAAAAGTACGGGAGCAAAAAAAGCATTTTTCTTGGAAAACGATAAACCAGTGATCGCTTGACTCTTTTCATGATTTTACCAAAAGAAAAAGTTCGAATAAAATCTTTCAGCTTCATTCTCTAAATAACTCTCCAAAAGTCGTTCTCATTTACTGGATTCCTATAACTCCTTGCAAGTTCGTATAATAACCTGTAAGTTCATGGCGTACTGCATCAGAGCTATTCTTTTTGGCCTCACCAAGTAAATTATTGAAAATTTTTGAAACAAAAAAAAACAAATATTTGCTGTATAAATTGAGATAACTCCGCCCAATGTGGTGTGAGCCCAAGGTAGATAAATATTTCAAATGGCTAAATGCCATGGACAATAACCAAGCCCATTTCTAGCATAAAATTAATTCTCAAAAACTCAATACAATTTATGGATAATTTTCAAAATTTCTTTCCAAAGCCAATGCACCGGGCAGTAAACTGCATCTAGAATCTCTGGACAGAATCGTTAGCATTCCATTGGTCGAGACCAGTTTCAAACGCATCGAAAATATCTACGGTAAAGTCAAACAAAATAATCGACTTTTTAATTGGTATTTTGAAACTGCCGAGATGACCATCAGTGCCGCCTACGAATCAGTACAGCCTGCAGTCAAACTTTTCGAAGCGCCTCTAAAGCATCTGGATGGCGTTATGTGCAAAAGTTTAGACTTGTTGGAGCAGCGTATACCATTGGTCTATCTGCCACCCGAAATGGTAAATATTTATTTTGAAAGTACATTCGAAAAAAAAAAATCGACTAACCACAATGACACACCCTCATGTCTTCCTCCAGATGTATTGGAACACAAAGGAGTACATGTCCGATCATTTGGTGCGACCGGTGCTCAAGCGTGCCGACTCTGTTAAACATATCGGTAACACCGTCTTGGAAAGTCAACTGACCGCTTATGCCGCACAAAGACTGGATGAAGCCTTTACAGTGGGCGACAAATTCGTGGATAAATATTTGACACCCATACCAGGCGATCAAACGGACGGTGAGTTAGTCAAAAAGCTTTCGATTTAGGCACAAAATAAGATAATCAATATTAGAAAATTACCATAAAGTAAAACATTTAGCGCAGAAGATAACAAAATTACGAATAAATTTAAAAATATGCATGCAATAATAAATAACCAAGTTTGTTTAAAAATTATTATATATGTACATACATATATACATAGGACTTTAAAATGTCGAGGTTATCATGTGAAATATTTTTAATTGTGTACGTAAGGTAATTTTTTCGCGTTTGTTTGTATGTTGCTGCTTAATTCAAAAAATATATATATATACAGACTGATAACCTTTCTAAAAATGATTCTACCCACAGTGGTAAGGTGAAATCAATGACTTTTAGTGTAGTTTAGTTTATATATACAGTGACTCAAACAAACCGTGACTCGTTTTTTTTTTAAATATTCATAATGTTTTTTGAGATAAATTTTTGTTGTTGTTTTTCCATAAAAATACCGTCGAAGTTTTAACCAAAACCACATAAATCAAACTTTATACAAAATTTTGGAAAATTCAACAAGCTTTCAACAAAGTTACATCTTTCTAATTCTAATCTCTAGAACATTTTTGGGTGTGTAGTTTTATAGCCTAAAATTTTTGTTTCATTTTCGTTGTTGGTGTTCTCGTTAGAACAAAAAATGACACTGAAGATGGCCCACGTCGAAACCGGTTTGTCTCCAAACCGAATTTGACAAGCGATGACGGAAAATCGTTCCACATTACATCAAAAAATTGTTGCCTAATTAAGGGCAAGTTTCGACCGACTAAAAAATGGCCTTGACTTTTGAGCATTTTTTTAGACTGCTTTTGCGGTTTTTATTATATAACACCTGCAATTAACAAAAATTGGCGATGGCTTTTTGAAGTTCTATGGCTAACGGTCTCCCGTATTTTATTTAATAAGAAATTCATGTTTACATGGAAAAAAGTGCAAAAATCCATCACCAAAAAAACTATAAAAAATAAACAGTAGTTTTTAGCCGATTCAAACTTGTACTTCATTAGGCAAAAATTGTATGGGCTATATAACTGCATACCCAAAAATACTCTAAAGATTCAAATTAAAAAGTTTAAATTTTGATAAAAATTTGTCGAATTTTCCAAAATTGTGTATAAAGTTTGACTCGCATGGTTTTGGTTAAAGCTTGGACGGTATTTTAATAGAAAAATAACAAAAAAAATTAGCTCGAAAAACATTACGTATATTAAAAAAATATATATATCAACACGTGGTCATTTGTTTGAGTCACTGTACATACTTGCAAAATTTTATATATTTTATTTAAGAAATTGATTAATATTGCGTTGTTTATATGCACTTTTCAGCTCCCATTGATGATGATAACATTTCTGGTGCAGAGAATGAGCAGGGCGCCATAAAGGCAATTCATCACGGTCGGCGATTCTCGCGCAAGCTTAAACGACGCTTAACCCAGCGCACCCTGGCCGAGGCGCGAGCTTTGAAAAAGCAAAGTAGAGAGGCCATTAACATACTCATCTATGCGGCAGAGTTGGTTAGTATAATTACCAATTGCAAATCAAATTTACTTGAGTATGTTTCCATATGTATGTATTCAAAACGTAAAGATTATCACAAACTGTGACCCGTTAATTGGTCCCATAACACTGTAGATCAGGTTTGTGCTCAACAAATCTGGCTTACTGCGCCATACGGCAACAACGTCAATAAAAATTACAACAACATCGTTTTCGGAATAGCAAAAACTACTACAACCCAAAACTATTTGGGCACTAAAGGGCAGTTCTGGTGACAGTTTTTCAACGTAACACAATCTTTCGAAAGACAGAAGGTTTTCGTAAGATAATTGTCAATTCGGCCAACTATCTTTAAAGCTTTTTTTTGTCCTTCGAAAGGCCAATTGAAAGCTCTACTAAAGAGGATGTCTTAGGTCTTAGCGTTATTC